AGATGTATTTTTCCTCTTACACCTGCTGTCGGGAAACCTGACCACATTGTGTGACTGTTTCGCTGCGACATTCACACTTTTTGGCACGATTTTAGCGACTTCCTCACTGACCCTCTGAATGTTTAAGTTGGTCATCCACATCCCATTCAGTGCTCAAAAGTGTTTCATTCAGCACCACCATGTTTCCTTCATCCAACAAATGAATTCTAGGAATTTTGTCTTGTTATCCTAGCATAGCATATTTTCCATATGGTTAAATTTGTACGTGAAATGCGAAAAAAATGCTTGTCTTGTATTTTCCGTGTTTTGCTGTTGATATTTTTAATTCCTGCAATATTTTCATTGATAAGTTGTGCTTTATTTTCATTATTTTGCTTCACTAACAAAATTATATTGAAAATACCGTATGTGCGTATGGTGAATTTTTGTAAACTCTCTGTAAGACAAAACTGGCTAGAGTTTTGGATGGAAATTTTTTTGGGAACCGTCAATTTCCATCTTAGACAGGTTTTACTGTATTAAAAATTGTCTAATGAACTTTACATTGTAAGCATACATTCTTATCACCACTAATTATGATAAAATGGCAAAAATGCAATTTGGGTTTCCAGTATCCGTAATTTTATTAAAAGCCCCGCTCACTTCTTTGAAGAGAGAGTGCTACTTAGGACTCGAAATAAATCCAATTTTTTAAAGCATTTCCTGCTGGTGAAATGTAAATATTCCATCTCAATCAGGCCTTGTCACAAAAGAAAATCTTGGTATGCTTTTCCATCATGTAATCATTCACAACTTTTGTTTTAAAACATAGAATTTTTTTGGTTTGAAGTGAACATACCAATGTCCTTTTTTTCTCAGTTGCCATAATTCTACTAGCAAAAACATTACTCATAAATTGCAAAAAGTGTGATACCTATAGAACTTTGGAAGGAACAGAAAGCAGCATCCTGATATTCTATGACAATTTTTATCAAATAGCAAAGGCCAAACAAACTTCTTTCGTATTCCACCACAAACATAAAACTGTTTCAAAAATCATTTTTTTCTCCCCGACGATGCACACCACCACTTGAAACCAAATTTCACAGGCCTCACTTGTTTTAGCTATAAGTTGCCCAAAGTATGAAACTAACTGTTCAATAGTGCTAATGAATTCAGGCTAAACACACAGAACTGCAAACATCTTTTGTACATCTCATCAAAAAATAGCCTTAATTTTACACATTTGTATTCTTTATCTAAGGTGTTAATAAAGAAAACGTGTAGATATCTTTATATTTCTTTAAACTTGTTTCGAGAGTTACTTTCAAACAAAATTGGAATCTTAGGAAGCTCATGCAACTCCCATCCCTCCATGCCCAATGCTTGACTGGTGATGTGGGTTGCACCACCAGTCAATCAGATCATTCATTTACTGCAACAGTGGCATAATTGAAATAGTGATAGTTTTTCAGAAGATGCGCTGAATGTACAATTTATATGAAATACAGTGATGCAACATTACCATGGAACTTCAACTCCAACAATATATTTGGAAAGCACAAAATTGGTGTACCAATCAAAAGAAATTGAAATATCTTATTTCTTACAAATAATTCATTTCTGAGCATTTTTTAGTAATGTAATTGTTGCTGAAAATACCAAAACATCTGTACGTTTCAAAGTTACAATATGATTGAAAATTGTTACATTTATATCAAATTGTTTGTTGGTGGGTATTATTATCCGTAAAGGTAATATGGGTATTATTATTCAAATTTAGCTATGTAGCTATTATATACTATTTCCCCCCCTCCATTATGTGAAAACAAAATGCAAGTCCACAATTTTAATTTATTTAAAATTTGTATTTGTGAAAATATTTTATTATTTTTTATTCAGAATTCACCAACTCATAATTCGAACCTAATAGTATCAGTTCAGTAGTCAGTAAGTTTCAGTTCAGAGCTAATTGAAATTTGCAAACTATAAGAACAATCAGACTAGTGATTTTATCAGAACAGAGGGACTGTCATAACAATTTAGGGGAAGAAAGTATTGTATAAAGTAATGAAACTGTGAAATTGAACCTAATTGTTCTTAAAGTGACATTTCAATGAAGACCTTTCAGATTATTTTCATGGGAAAGAATAACTAAAAACTAAAGAAATGAAAAAATAAAAAAATGAGTATTTTAGATCTTTGAAAACACAGAAATAACATTATTTGCTCCTGAATCAAGGGCATTGTTATTAAGATCATTCAAGGATGTTTTGCACAAGTTGTTTCAAGTACAATGTGAGCAGAATTGTGAAATACAAATTTTCTACCTGCCAGAGGGTTAAATAGACTGGATGGTCCCCAGATGCCTCTATGCAAGCCAGAAATGTGTTGAGGGAATGTTACCCTCCATCCCAATCCCCCACTAAAACAAGACTGGTTGGTTTGGAGATGACTGAAAACATGGGTGAATTTTATCACCAGAACTTGTACATCAATATTTTATTACAAGATTTACTTTCATTTTCAGTAACTTTTTCCTTTTTATTTTCTCATATATATCAAGTTATCCTCTTTAGTATGTTTAGTTCTATGTATTAACTTTTTTATTTTTTAAATATTTCTTAATGTTCAAACTATGAATATATTCAAATCACCCCCTGCTCTGCAGGCAGCCTTTGCTTTTAATGGTATATTTATAACGTACCAATAATAAACAATAACAATTTGTACTACAGAGAAAATTATGTAATGATGCAGAAAAAAAGAGCTGATATTTTGACAGAAAAACCATTTTGTGGGCCTCTTGTTCCCCCTGTCCTTCTATAAGTAGTACATTTGCATTTTAATATTCTTAGAATAGTCAAAATTATTTTGACAATTCTATGAATACAAAAAGTTTTAGAGGGTCCCTTATACCAAAAAATGTTTTTGGGGTTGAAAACAACCACCTGTGAACAACACTAGCATCTAAACTATATAGGATTTTCACCAAAATGGATATTCCAGGATGAATCTGGCTAATGTCATAGTCCTTCAAATATAAAATTGATCTTTTATCATTTGGGGGTACCTTACATGAAGCTTCAAGAACAATTTCAATATTTTCTCAAAAATAGCTTCAAATCTTTTATTTACCATTTTTGCTTGAATACAGCAAAGATTGTTTAATAATAGGGCATATGGACAATTTTTACCAATACCAGTGAAATTTTAAACATTACAAAAAAAGTATTTTTTCCATCCTACAACTACATTCTACGTTAATGAAGGTAAGAGATTTCCTTTTTAATATATTCAAGATGCCTCACTATTAGTTGTAGTTTAATATTGTAAGATATTACAAGATATTTTTGCATTATATTTGTAGGATTTTATATAATTTTGAGTTGTATTGTGATAAAGGTAATATATTACCTGTCCCAACACCTTTCATATAGAGTTTAGAGTTCTTTTCTTCAACATTAGATCTTTAAATCCTTCCATGTATCCTCCACTAAAAATATTGGTACTATTTGTGATTTTTCGTAGGGGTAAAAACCAATGGTAGAATAAGAATAGTATGGAAGTACTCGTCTGTGTGCAGGTATCAGTAGCTGTCAGAAAAACAAATGTTTATGGGTTGGTGGCCTTGGGTTCAAATCCTGATCTGAAGTTTTCTTTAACATTTTCGTAAACACAACAAAATATACTACATATATTATATTCTCCATTTTCATTAAAACTTAGAATTTTCAATTTTTTGTATTATTTTTAATCTTTGGGGCATAGTTTTGTGTAGTGTTAGTAGAAAGTACTAATGTAGTATAGAAATGGCAATATTAAAACATATAAGCTTTACAATTAATATTAGAAAGTATGGCTGTTCTAGTACCGCTAGCTATTTATTCCTCACTGATTACAACACACACTTTGAAGATAAATTAGCTTAGAAAAATCAGAAACAAGTTTTAAAACTTCATAATGTGCACTTGTTCTTAAAGTTCTACAATATCCAAAAAGATAATGAAAAAAATACAAATCATTTAACTCCCTTTACATTAGCACAACTTAATAATTTAATAAGAAATCCTATAATTCACATACGCAGACTTGACTTTAAGTGTTCAGAGAACGAACATCACTTGCAACAAAAGAAAAACGTTGTATATACACGACTGTAAGGGTATATTCTAGACAGTGAAAGTGTGTTGTGAAAGTACCATTGAAGTATAAGGAGTGAACAAGTGAGAAGTGTAGGAATAAGCGGCATGTGCAAGTGAGATATTTGTGGGGGAAAACTGTGGAAATGGTGCATGACATTCAAACAAGGGTGCAATGGTATAAAGATTTTCAATTCATCTGTATGTGTTCTTGTACATGTATGTATATGTACATAAACACACAAACATGCATGCACATCCATATGAGTATGTAAGAACGTACCTACATGTATTTATACCTAATTGGATCGCGCAATTTTTGTAACGGCAAGGAGTGTCAAAGCAATGTGCAATCACTATATTTTCAAGTACAATTGCAATAGATGAGACACATCAATACATGATGGAATACCTCTGCTACAGAAAGCCTCTTTTGAGCATGGTAGTCTTCTTACAATCAAGAGCCAAATGCCACACTTGTTAAAAACTGATATAATTTTGGTTTGCAGGATCAGCTCATGGGTGACACCATTCACAGCTTACTACACAGTAATTGAGAATCACTAAGCATGCATCATTTTATCAAATAATTAAGTCAAACTTAGCTTAAGATCATTTTTTTCTTTTGTTTTTTCTTGTTGCTGGTTTGAGGCTAACAAGTACCAGGTCCAAAATTTGAATTAAAACTGGTTAAAAATCTCATTATGATGTGTGCATACATCAATATTCACATTTCTAAATTTCATACATTCTATTTTCTAGGAATTTGTTCTCTAACGTCACTCGTAACAAACTCCTAAGACAGATGTCAATTTTGGACCCAGTGGATTTGAACATTATAACAGAAGATTTTAGGTGAAGTATTTTTACAATACCAACCTTCACTCGAAGAATTTGTTCTCGTAAATCTTGCAAATCATTGAAAGTTGATTGTGCAGTGATAGAATACACTAATACAAATCCCTGTCCATTTTTCATGTATAAATCTCTCATAGCTGTAAATTGTTCCTGTAAAAGAATGACAAACATGTATACAAAGGAACACAACTACTACAACTAACAAAGACCACTAAAAAGTACACTTGTGGACAAAATAGGATTGACGTAGTGAAGGTTCTGACTATTGACACCTACCAAGACAGTCCAACTCTTCAAAGAGCCTCTAGGATGGCTGGAAAACCCAGGTTTGATTCCTAGCTGGGTGAACTGTCATTTGTAACAATTACTTCTGCTAAGTAGCTATGAGTAATAGTTGGCAATTCCAAAATGGGAAATATATTTCTATGTAATTGTCAAACCCTTACTTTTTTCTTATTTTTACTTTTTTGAATACATATGCATACGTATGCTTATACATGATATGAGAATGTTTAGTATTGCTGTGGAAAATCTATGTTGAGATTTAAACAGAAAAACATGTTTTGGAATCCTCTGATAGCAAAGATTTTTTTTAATTTTTTGTAAATTGGAAACCTGACATGAACAATGTCTCCACATTTTTTCATTTAATTTCACTAAAAGAGAGAGAGAGACACACACACTTACAAAGACGGCTTAGTTAACTCCAATGAAAACTGGAAAGTTTTAAATTTTTTTAACCCCCTTATACATTATTGAAAACAGACTTGTTCAAATGAGTTTCGTCCTCCAGTTACTCCTTTAATTAACGTCGTGAACATTTTTTGGAAAATACGAGTAGGTTTCACATAATTTTGAGTGAAATATGGACAATTTTAAAAACAAGATATTCTCAAAAAGAAGCTCTCAATGTTTTCTTAAAACTTTTAGAAAGGATCATACTGAATGCAATGTATAAATATACAATGTAAGTTACAATTTGTTGTAACTTCACGTCATTAATTTTCTAATCACATTTACAAGGAATTATTGTCAAAATAAAAATTCTTAACTGGTATCCACTTCCTTTTACATTTAGATTTTTAACTATGCGACTGCCTCCACAGAAAGACATACACACACACAACTCCACAAGCAGCACAAGTGATTCCTATGGTCAAAAGTCAAGAAACGGTAATTATAACAAAAAGCATTTTGCTGAACTTCCAGGGTCTAGTTATTATTATGGGGCTATTTGGAGTTATGAAATGCCTAGAAGAGAATACTAAATTAATTATTTCTTAACATGAAATATTTTGTCCACATGTGTATAAATATGAAAATTTCTTTTATCACACTCCATTAGAAAATAACTCCATTAACTTCATTTTCATAATATTCAGAAGGTCCTCCCAAAAATAAGACTACAAAAATATTAGTTTCTTTATTGCATTCCCGTTGCAATAGGGCATAAAATGCTTGTCTCAAAACATTCCTATTATTCCAGATGTGTCTATTAATTCAACAACACTAGCTCTCTGACTTGACTTCTAATTACTTTCATTTATTAATTCACACTTTTTCATTTTCTTAATGAAGATTTCTGCATGCTTTAAGCCTCCTCAAAAACATTAGATAACACATAGTGACCAAATGCAAACTCAATATTCAAATGTTCATATAAACAAAATAGAAAGGGAGAAAATGTACCGTTCCTGCAGTATCCAGTATTTCCAGCATACATTGTTGGCCATCCACTTCCACCTGTTTCCGATAGCTGTCCTCGATTGTCGGGTCATATTTTTCAACAAATATGCCTTGTACAAATTGCACTGTCAATGCTGATTTTCCAACACCACCACTACCCAACACAACAATTTTGTATTCACGCATCCTGTTATTTCTTGGTCCCTTCCTGTGAACAAAAATGCATATCTATATTTACTTAACACAACATTAATACATTAATACTTTTTATCAAATGAAAATGAATTTGTTTACAAGGCTGAATGATCACAGTAATATTAATCAACTTTTTTAAATTATAAAAAATATTATTTTAAAAGGCCAACTTTATAAGATTATAAAAACATGTCTTAAAAAACAAAAACTATACCCCGAGTTTAATTAACAATTAAAACTAATTGCAATATCCTGAAGAGGTATGTTCATGAAAATACGCAAGCATATACATGACATAACAAAGGAATTCCACACATCCGTAACAGTTAAGAAATTAAATCTTGTGTCGACAAGTATATACGAATATCACTTGGAGTACATATTACAGAATTATTCTTTGTGAGTGAATAATGAGCAGACATCAATACCCGTGAACCACAAGTGAATTGTTATTTAAGAAGCTTGTTGAATGGTGGACTGAATCCACAAACTTCTGATGACGACTTTATGGTTAGAACTTGGCAATTCATTAGGTAAACTCTACAAATGGCAATGTACGTTTTAGAGATCACACAGAACAACTGATCTAAATTTAGACTAGAACATTTTGAAGTAGAATCAAAAGTGGTGAATCACCAGTTTCATCATTGTTAGATTATGGGTAGTTACATGTTCAACAGGAAAACAAAATCCAAATTACAAAATGATTCGTTCCTCTTGAAATGCACATTTAAACACATTCAAATTGACTTTCCTGAAGCTAAGACAGTAAAATTTACATTCATAATTATATAAATTTCACAAAACAAAACAAATCCTGATTTTAAACGAAGTATCAAACTGTTAAATGAATGTTCTAATAGGAGAATACATGGAAGGAAATGTGTAACTAAAGAACCAAAAAAGCTTTTGAAGCTCAAACAGGACACAGTAAAAAGTAATAAAATACTGCAAAAAATCGATTTTGATGTTTTGATGGAAATGTATGTTTTGGGGGACGATAATATAAAAAAGTGCTGTTTTTTTCTTTTTTCTTCCCCATCCCTCCAAACAACTTTGCCTATTAGCAATACCAGCACCTTAAGAGTACACAGCATTATGATAAAATGGATATTCCATGGTCAATCCAGATGATATCATGGCCTCTGGAATTTGAAACGGATATTTTAATTTCTAGGAATACTTTACATAGAGTCTCTACATTGTCTTAGTTTTCTCAAATATGGATAAATAAAAATGTTTAAATGTTTTGCTCGAAAGAGCCAATTACACTTATATAAATAGCACAGATCTGCTTTTCAGAAAAACCTAGAAAATTTCGTAAATTGCAAAAGTTAAACTTTTTTTTTGACATCCTCCTAGAATTGCATTATTGAAGACAGAAGTTTTCTTCATGAAATCTATTCTTTAATATTAGATCTTGAAATGATGTCATGGGCAATTTTATTTTTCAAAATATGTGTGGCTGAGTGAAATCAAGACAATATACAATAATATGATAATATTTTCTAAAAAATTGATCAAAAATATTCTTTACATTTTTTGCTTGAATATGACATGTTCTATCTTCATTGAAAACTCTGAAATTTCGAAAATTGCACAGGTTGAACTTAGTTTCTGATGAGTACGAGCACTCGCCTACACCTCTGTGTCTGCTAGTGATTTTTTCTTAATGGAATCTGTTTCTTGTTTATTATATCTTTTAAAGACAACTGCCATTCCCCCCCCCCCAAATTAATACTTTTCATGTAATGGAGTCAAATTACAACAATTTTCCACAAATACGTAAACAAGTTATTCTCAAATATTTTCGTTAATCCTTTGTGAGGATGGAGCATAATATTCTAATTTACTATACCACAATTTAATTTCTTTAAAACTGAATTTAAGGTTTTTCTTTTCATGTCAAAATTTCCTTATTATTATTACTATTATTATTATTATTGAACAGAATTTATTGTACTAAAACGCAATATATATTTCACATTCCCCCCCCCCAAAAATTGTTTGAAAATATATAAAATAAAAATTCATGATAGTTTAAAATTGCCTCCATAATGGATTTTTAGATTTTTGAACACAAATAGTGTCCTTTCAGACATTAAGACTAATGCGGAGCAGCTGAACAAATGTTCACGTGACTCACTGGATATTGGTGGGGGGTGGGATACAGGGACCATGCTGGTCCAAAATCCAACATTGTTTACGTTGACTCAGCAGCATCGTTGACCAGATCTTAGGGTTAGACAACTGACGGTGGCCGATTTTCGACAGTAGCTACATAACTAGGTCGAATTGAAGCATGTACAGAGGGGAATTACAGTGACCGGCTGGTCTGATTGGTAGTTTTCCGTGGTGTCCCTGATCAATCCCAGGCGAATGGCGGAGCAGTACCCCAACAAACGGGTAACATACCGCGCACAATTTTCCTTTCCTCTTCCTTGTCCCATCATCCTCTCTCCTTACAGCTTTAATTCACAATGCTACCACACAAATTGGAAGACCTGTCGGCATGTCCCGGTTGGGGCGGTTTCCCGCTGGGGAAGATACCTTGATTGTAAATAAGCTCGCAAGCCAAAGAGTAGGTTGGAACCGGAGTTCCAGCAGAAGAGGAACGTAGAACGCCACATCCGAGGAAGTAGCATGCCCTAAACCTACGGGAGGAATGAACTAAGTAGATAACGTCCCCAGAAAATATACTTATTGAACATTGTACTTAAACTCCGTTTATTGAAAACAAGTGCCAGAAATTGATTGCTTCATATTCCCAAGGACTATTTTCCACTGAGCTCGATCGGACAGGATTTTACAAATAGGTTCCGAATTTTGCGTCCATAACACCGAGTGTATATTTTTTCGGCGGGGTGCACGAAGCGCGACGAAACGTTACTTTTGCTTTGGAAATATTTGCTCTTTCTCGATTCCGGAAACGCAATTTCCGAGAAGGGGACACATCACGGCTAAGGTTCGGAGGTTATAGGCACATTACTTTGTTTCATAGAAACTCAATTCCAGGAAAATTTATTAACAAACACGCATTGGAAATATTCCATTTCGACATGTAAATTTACGTAATGAAATACAGTAGACTCCGGTTATAGTGAACTTGAATCACGGATCCCGTTTCATTTACATTACAAATAAGCATAAGATTCGGTTATAGTGAACCTGAACCTCTGCTAAAGTGAACGTAGCCCTAAAAATTAATTCGATCTCGTATGTTGTTAGGCGAATAAAAGGGCCTTCCGAGAGTTAGACGATGTTCCAACAGCGCAAGAGAGATTGAACGATGTCAAGACTGCATTACGATAGAGACAAAGAACAATGCAGAATCAAGTTGGAGAGAGCACGAACTCTAGAGAAGAATATAGAGAAATTACTAACGATCAAACGAACAAAGCAAACAATTGAAAATAATGGATTTTTAAGGGCAAACAAAGATATTGCTGTATATCTAATATAAAACATAATTTTGGAGAAATTATATTTAATTTTGACGTCTTCGGATATAGTTAACCAAACATGTTAGTCCCCAGAAGTACACTATAACCAGAGTCGACTGTATGTAGTAATAAGTAAAACATGTAATTATTTCAAAATGTGTAAAAATACAGCGCGAGTGACAAAGGTTAGGCCCAAAGCCTTCCCCGAATTCTTATGTACACGATTGCAGCCCACGGGCGTCTTCCATTCCTCTAACAGTGAGCTGGGAGCTTGTACTTGTGACTTCAGTGTTGTCCTCCCCTGTCAGCCGTATTTTGATTATATTCTATTACTAGTTTTCACAAAAGAATTTAGTTCTTCGTAATAAATCTACATATTCGGTTTATTTCACCAACTGATAATGGATTTAGTTGAATTTGACAGGGACTTAACAATTCAGTTGCAGTAGCTTCTTTCGAATGAACGTAGTACATCCCACGCGCGCGCCGCGCCAGGGACATTTAATCCCGCCTTCACAGGTCTCGGGTTTCGAAGCGCGCGACTGTCCGGGGATGCGCGTCACCGACTCCCTGCATAAACATACAAGAGCGATTGTCACCCCCTTCTAAACTGTCTAAAACTACGAGACCAAAATGCGAGCCGCGAATACTGTCCAATTGAACCAACAGATGTTTCAATAGCACATTTTATGGCAAACCGGCCGATTTTTAATTTTTCGTTGCCTATGGCGACGTTCCATCCGAAAAATCAACTTCCGGCAGCGTATCCTTAAAACAAGACTAGAGCAACAAAAAAATCTTCATTCAAGTGCTTAAACGTTATAATATAATCGCGGAGACGCACGAAATTGTGTTATTGAGCACAAATGCCACTTTCATTAAAACTTTTGAATTTTCAAAAATTAGAGATTTTTTTATGGTTAGGTCTGCGCATATGAACTGTTGAATGTCCTGGGGGCGTAATGGTTAGCCTGCAGAAAGGATCTCGAGTTAAAATCACAGCTCGGGAAAATGCGTTGGTGGATTGAAAACACTAGCAAAAAGATGCATTGGGTCAATGAGGCGAACGTCAAGTAAAGAAGCCCGTAGTTCACTGCGGAAACGTATGCAATCAGTTCAAATGTGAGAAATATTCAAACGAGTTTCGCTAGAATTATGCCTATTACACAGGTTATATTTTCTGTAAATTTGTTTTATACAAGGCAAGGGTTGAAAAAAAGGAATTCTAAAAATCTAGCTTTCACGCAGTTAAGTTTTACAAAAATATAAAATAGAACATGCCCTATTTTTGTCAAATAATTTTGCACAACAATCAGAAGTAGCCAATGCCATCGAGAACGTGGGAGATAGCCGCAAAGCTTACACGACAATTTGCGCCATATTTTGCGTCCGGACGTAGGTTAGGTTAGCTTCCTCTAAAGAGGATAGACTAAACGTGCATTGGAATAACTGGGTTGGCTGTAAGTGGTCGAAGAAAGCGCGCTTCCAGTTGGGCATTAGAAGTACTCTTACAGAAGTATCTGTATATTGTAATCGACTCCCATCGTAATGCAAAATGGGCGAAGTATGC